GAGTTGGGGCATGTGGACTCGGTGACCTTCCAATTCTCCCTTTGGTCCAATGAGTCTGTGAACTCATCTCTCTCTGTAACATCCTCCTGCTCAACTTACTATTTTGAAAAAGAACAGTGCCCAAAGAAGGGGACATTTGGCTGTAATGTGCCTCCTAAGCCTTTGGAATTTTTTGTTTGTTTGTTTCATTCTTGACCTGCTAAAGAAGATGGAACTAAAAGAGAGAGAAGAGTGTGCTGTGCACACACATTCCCATTCTACAAGCAGCTCTGCCACTCCCACCTAGTAAATCTCCTGGCTCAGGATTGTTTCAACTTGGCGGTCCTTATTTCAATGAGTTCACAGAGCCCAACCGGTCAGATACTAGATTGCTAAAATGAGAATTTCATAGAGAAGTTATCACTACCATTGCCTACTGAATTACATCAGAGATCAGAAAGTACCAAAGCTGTGAGGACTTTATCTAGCACAACTAACTCCCTTATTTCATATATCAAACAAAAAAAGGGTCCAGGAAAGAAATCAACTTGTTATCAGGAAAGTCAACTTGTTACCAGGAAAGTCAAGGCTTAAACCAAGATCCTGTGTGCTTGCCCCAAATGCTTGAGACAATGCATTTGTGTCTACAAATGAGAATACTGATAACTTATTTGCTACCCTTCTTTACAGAAACATGTTTAATGTCACATAGAATAAAACTATTCCTCCAAGGTTTTGTTTTGAGCTTTCTTTACCCTATGACGAAGACAACGTTGTCATTAAAACATAAATGTGCAGTGTAATGTTGAGTACGCTTTTTCAACCTACACATGCCATCATGGAGCTTCTTACACACCTCCCTAGGGAAGTGAGCCCGTTGGGGTAAGAATAGACGGTTTACAGACTAGTAGGGCAGACAAAGAAGCAAACTGACAATCACAGAGGTAAATCCAACATGTGGAGATTTAATCCTGACTCAGAAGGACAAGGAAGGTATTTAAAAAAAAAAAAAAAAAAAGGTAAAGCCTGAGGTGAGCTTTGAAGGCTGAATAGGAGTTAGGCAAGCACGGAAGGTATTCCAGGGAGCAACAAGGCAAAAGGGCCCAGAGGCAAAGATTATAGAAAATTCAGGAAACTTCAAGTGTTCAAGTAGCCTAATTTGGCTGGTGGCTAGAACGCAGTGGCAGTGGCAAGGGTCACTTGGGTTCCCTGAATGTACAATTCCAACAGCTTCCCCTAAATAAACACAGCATAGTAAAAAAGAGTATGCTTACCATGCCGGCACAGCTTCATAATACAAGTTCCCCAGCACCACCTGACCATCAACATATTAATTACAAGGTCAGACACAATGTAACTAGGGGAGATACAGTGAAGGGAGCAACGGACTGGAACTTCCCAATAAGTTACTGTGGCCCTTTCTAGTAAGGTCAGCTGCTGCATTTGTAAAATGAATAGCTGACCCTGCCCTGAATAATCCTTAAAGTCCCTTTTGGCTTTGTATTTGCAATCTAGTAACCGTGCATATGCTACTAGAAGATCAAACATAAAGATCCATAGACCTCCACAAAGGCCCAAGGTGATCAGCAACTAATCCTCCCCTGACTCTCACTCCATCATTGTTTTATAAAAGGCAAAGTGATCTAACTGCAGTGTTTCCAAACTCTCAGTGTATATGCAATTTTCACTAGAAAGCAGAGTGAAAATACATAGCAAGAAGTTAGGAAATCAGAGCCTTCTTCTCTCAGCCTCCTGTAAAAAGAAAATAATGAGGAAATTTCAGTTATTAACAAGAGTTTGCCTCAGTCTTACCTAACTAAGTTCCCAGGAAGAGAATGCATGAAATATGCAAAGTGATGATAAAGATATCTACAAATGGGGCGATTCACTTTAAGCCTGCAAAGAAACTTCAACAACAATGATCAATTTAAAATGAGCTCCTTGAATCCATCACGTGAATCCATCACAATCAGATTCAGGATGGGTTTTCACACTTTACTGTGCAACACAATTATGGAGACCTCCTCCTGGAAGCAGGTAGCTTTGGGGAACCTCTCATTGAGATTTTAATTCAGCAAGGGCAATTCTGAAGTCACCAGTTTCACAAACTCCTCAAAAGATTCTCATGAGCGGTGGTCATGGGACCAACCACACTGCAAAACGATGAATCTAGTAATTAGGAAAGAGGGTAAAGGCACACAGCGGAGAATTATTTAGAAATTAGGGTATGGGCTTCAGGTGCCTTCCCTGGGCAGTAAGTTAATAGAGAAGGAGGGAAGGAGAATAGATATACCTGGGTCTGGATGGAGTCCTCATCCACTCATTTAATAAATATTCATTGTGTGCCCATATGAATCAGGCACTGTACTAGGTACTAGGGATTACAGAAGTAAACAAGATAAATGAGGTCCTTGCCCTCATATTCACATGACCTCTTATGACCTTCCCTACCTACCTGTTAAAACTGCTGCACTTGATCAGTCTTACAGACCCAATGATTCCACTGCATAAGCAGGAAGAAAAAAAAAAAAGGAATAGCTACTTTGTTTCTTCAAAACTAGCCTTCTAAGAGATACTGCTGTTGGAAGTGAAGGCTTTCTTAGCCTTCAAGAGGCACTGTAGAACATAGTGGAACTGTTTTCTATCTTGTAAGCTTTGTGATGTGGAAGGGTGGGATGAACAAAGGCTTGTCAGAGAAAGCCCTGTCAAGGTAAACACCTCCCTCTCCACGAGTTAACCAAATGGCAATATCCCCAGTAAAATGCATCCCACAGGGATAACCTGTCCTGTCTCTGCCCGGTGTCTCACTTTCGAACAAGCAGGCATTCTGTTAAACTAATCTTCCTAAAGCACAGAGTGAGTGATATTACCTCCTGCTCCTAGAGAAACCTAAAGTACTGGAACCAAGCATTTGAGACCCTAAACACTTTGGCTCATACCTCCCCTACCCAATTCCTGTGATTCCCTGAACACACTTCATTGTTTGCTCCTTCTCAACCTTTGCTAGAAACCGTTCCCCCTTGGTATCCCTGGACACTCCCTTCCCATTTTTCTGGTCCTGGTTTAAATGCTACTTCTTCCAGAAGCTGTGACCCTCTCAGCAAGAAGAGTCTCTGTTCTCTGAATTCTGCACAGACCTTGGGCACTTTTCCCAGTTAGAAGCGCCCTTTTGGCTACATAATTTATCTTCCAAGGCAGAATGTGCTCTTTGAGGATAAGAATTGTATTTATGCTTTTTAATATTCCTTCTCAGGACCTAGCACAGTGCCTCAACAGCCATTTTTTTGTTTTTTGTTTTTTGATTTTTTTGAGACTGCGTTTCACTCTTGTTGCCCAGGCTGGAGTGCAACGGTGTGGTCTCAGCTCATTGCAACCTCCGCCTTCCAGGTTCAAGCAATTCTCCTGCCTCAGCCTCCCGAATAGCTGGGATTACAGGCACCCACCACAATGCCTGGCTAATTTTTGTATTTTTAGTAGAGACCAGGTTTCACCATGTTGGCCAGGTTGGTCTCGAACTCCTGACCTCAGGTGATCCACCCACCTAGGCCTCCCAAAGTGCTGGAATGACAGGTGTGAGCCACCGTGCCCAGCCAGTTTTTATTATTTGCTTTTACGTTTTATTACTTTAATACATTCATTAATTACAAATCTACTCGAAAGGCCACACTAATGAAGCAGAAACAACTCTAATGTGAACATAAAGGCAATGTTTCGACAACCTATAATATTTTATGCACTGGTTTTGGGAGACCCTGGGGAGATTTGGGCTTTTTAACTTCCCCCCACTCCTTCAATAATCACACTCCCACCTCCCCTCACTTTCCCCACCCCCCAGACCCCACACCTGCTCCACCACCTTCATCACCTCCACACCACTCCACCCTCATTCAAAACCATGTTAGCCTTTTAGATGCCCTAGGACCTTTGCTTCCAATTTTTTTCTACCTTTATACCTTCCTTATATTTTTTCAGACTAGAGGAGGTAGATGTTTTATTACTCCTGGTTGCAGAGTGCATGCTTCAGGCAACTTCAGGCACTCCAACACTGCCCTAGTATCCATATTGGTGATCCTGAGTGCTCATGAGCTCAACACACTTATACAAGAACTGTGATATTTAGGCAAGTTTCAAATGTGGAAGAGTAGTTTCCAGTTCAAACACAGAGATTCTACTTGCTGATTTTAAAACTGATCCATTTTTCTGCTTTTTCTAAAATACAATGATTTTAATGTTGTATTGATTTTTATTTATAGAGAAGGGATAACCTTTATTGAGTACTTTATCTACCAAGCATTGTGCTGGACACTTGAAATATAAACTTCATCTGATCCTCACAACCACCTTAGGAAACACACGGTTCCATTTTATAGATGAAAAACTGAGGTCCAAAGACATTAAATAACTTGCTCAAAATCATGCAGTTAATTTATGAATCTAGGATTCTGCTGGTCCTTTTAAAACGAAGCTGATACTCTTTTAGTTATACCATGCTGTACCCTTAATTAAAACCCAGAAGTTCATTCTGCCTACTTGGTCTTCCACTTCAAAACAGAGATTATAAAAAAGATGTAACCTCAAATAAAGAACTTTTTATATTCCTAAGAAAAAACAGCACCACTGAGCCACCATCTTATTTTATCAAGATCTCAGTTGATGGTTTAGTTTTCCGCAAAAGAGCACTGAATTGACTCGATATCAAGTAATACCTGCATAACCACCACAGCACCTCTTTGCAGCATCACATAATCACCAAAATCAACTATTTTTCAAAATTAGAAAATCACAGCCTAATATGTATTACTTGCAGTTTCTTTCTAGAAATTAGGTGCATGGTACAGTGAGATAAAAATGGAAGCCTCCAGATTTCACAAAGATGTCAAGTTTTACATTTTGATACAATGCAAATGAATTCGCAAATACTATTAAAGCCAACAATCAACCAAAGAAAAAAGTATTCTATAACCAAGTAAACACCTTCTATGATTTCCCTTTAAGAATAAATAAGGTCAAATTTATTCATTCAACAAACATTTATTGAGCACCTGAAACTGTGCTAGGTGCTGAGGAATATAGCTGTGAACAAGATAAATCAGGCTCCTGCCTTGACCAGATAGGTTTGCTTTAAATGATCCTGCTAACTACTACATATTTATTCTTTGCTAGGATAACATTTTTGGAAAGTCAGAGTCATATGAAGCCGCTTCTGGAATATTTTTAAAGTTTCTTTATGGCAAAATTGATAGAAATCTTTGTTTAACTTAGAGAAAGGAAAAGATGGTCTCCAGTAACAACTAGACAAGCGTGTTGATGGTTCAGTTCACTCTCAAGCAAAATGGCGCCAGGCAACCAATGAGGCAGTTTAGACCATTCGGTTGCGCTTTTGGTTTGGGGAGTCTGTGATGCCATCACCGCACTGGGCCGAGGTGCGCTTGCGGATCCCCCCACTGTCCAGGTGGAGGGCCAGTTCCTCTGAGTTGAAGGGATTCAAGTCGTCCTCCAAGAAGCTACTTTTTCGGCGCCCACTGCTGGCGACACCGCTGTCTTGAGGCGAGTCAGCCGATCTCATGCTGATGCCGGCCATTGCGCCACTGAGGCCGTGCAGGGCGATCGCCTCCTGGAAGGGCTGCAGGTCGGCGTCCACCGATGAGCTGGACTCAGTTGCCACAGCTTGGCTGGCGGCCCCAGTGGGTGGCTTAGGAGGTGTTCTAGGAGTGCGAGGCGGAGGAGGAGCAGGGGGCACTTTGCCACACAGGAAGCTAATCAAGTCTTCGCGACGAATGGTGCTTCGGCCCTTTTTCACCCACTCCAGCACATCTTTGATGCGACGCTGGTGGCCAACCTGGACACCCAAGTCAAAACTTCGTTGGTGGGCATCCCCGCTCTCTTTGTAAAGGCTGGTCACAGCCATGGCTGCATTCTGGAAGGGGTCCCACATGGAAAGTCCTGGCTGTTGACACCCAGAATCCTTGTAAAGCTGAGCAACGGCGGTGGCGGAGATCTGGAAGAGGTGCCACAGCTTCTGCTTCTCGCTCTTGAGCCCCGCCAACTCTGCAGCCGCCTCCTCCTCCAGCTCGGGAGGCAGCTGCTCCTCCTGCTCGGCCTCAGCCAGGCACTGGCGTTCCCACTTGGAAAACCAGTGCTCCGCGACCTCGGCCTCGCCCTCCTTCTGCTGCTCCTCCATCCTCCTCTTCAGGCCGCGCACCTCCACCACCGCCTCCTGCTCCGCAGCCGCCGCCACCGCCGCCGCCGCTGCAGCCGCCTACTCTGGCTCCTCCACCTCCTCACCTCCTGCTCCGAGCTCCCCGCCTCCTTCTGAGGCCGCCGCCTCCTTCGCGTGCGCCGCCCGGCGGGCAGGCGGGCGGGCGCGCGGGCGGCGGGGCCCTGAGGCCAACTGCTACGACGCTAGCCGCCCGCGGCCCTGGTGCACGCCCCGCCCCGCCTGCCGGCTCAGTCAACGGCAACGGCGCGGACGCTGTCTCCTCCGCAGTAGCGGAGATAACCCCGCGGCCGTCCGCGCCTCCGCGTTGCCCCCTTCCGGCCCGGCGGTTCGCTCCTAAGGCCCCCCCATGGCGCCGCGGCCTCCCCGCCGCTGCCGCCGCCGCCGCCGCCGCCGCCGCCGCCGCCGCCGCCGCCGCCTCGGTCGCCGCCGCCGCGGCTGCGGCCCCGCAGCTCGGTCCCGGCCCCCGCTACCGCCGCGGCTGCAGCACCGATGTCTCGGAGGGGGGCTGGCAGGAGCTTTGCCTCAACGCAGCACTTGCCTACCTCTTAGCCCCCTTTTCACACATGTTTGGGACTTGTCGGCTTCATCCAATGAGCTGATCAAATTTTACATCCTATGTTGCCAGAGAGGATTATGGGGCAACTTCATGGTGTCGATCACATCCAGGCCGCCAAACCGGGGAGGCCGGGGGAATAAAAGTGAAAAGAGCGCGGCCCTCGTGGGTGAGGAGGCAGTCTGGACCCCAGCAATGTCCTCCCCACACTAGGTGCCCGAGGAAAGTGTTTTCCATGAACCAAAGCGGTATTTGGTAGAAGAAAAAAATCACAGGGAAAGTGCCTGCCGCCTCTTCTTGGGCCTCAGTTTCCCCAAGTGTCTAAGGAAGTTGTTAAACTAGCTCGTCAGAAAGTGCTCCACTCCTGATTGAGAACTTCCCTGCTGTCCCTGGAAAGCACTACTTCAGGGTTAGTTTCATACTTACCAAATTCTAAGAGTAACGGTCACAAATGATATTGATTCCCCCCTCGGTTCTTGCGAACGCTTTCGTCGTTAAGAAATATGGGGTGAAGAGTAGATTCTGTGACGACTACTATCAACTATTGAAAATTCCAAGATGAAGTAAGGGGAAAGAAAAAAGGGGGAAAAAAATGAATGCTCAAACACGGGATTTTCTGTTCTAATGTAAAGTTCTGTCTCTTTTAGGAAAGAGAAAAAAACTTCCCTAATTTTCAACACCCTAAAAATTCTAGCTACTTAAAACATCATAATAATATCAAAATTAAGCTAAAACGGTATGGAACACTAATACCATTTCCTTGGGTTCAATAACAAATCCCTTGTAATAATGAATCTTTTCTCAGTACAGACAATTCCAAAGCAAACTGTGTTAAAAAAAAAAAACAAAACACTAAACTAAAAATCACATCAGAAGTGGGAGGAACAAACCTAATCATTTTTAAGATTTACATTAAAAAGTTAGAATTTTGCAGTTTTTCTTGTCGAATAATTGCTCTGTATCCAGAAAGCCTTACAGACATAAACCTAAATCTTCTACCAAATATGTCTAATAATTCCCAAGAATGAAAATTAGTACATTAAATAAAATTATCATTAAATTTTATCATCTTCCTTAAAATCAATACATGTTTCTAAGTTAAATTTAAAAGAGAAGAAGAGAGAATTGTGCCCTTTCTCTGCAAACCGGGCTTTTTCACGATTCATTAAACCCTTTTTCCATATGTGTAATTGGACTCTTCTCATTTACATAAACGAAGGATGAGGCAAAAGACCTAAGATCAGCCTAAGAAGAGAGATACGTTTCTCATTCTTCTATGTTAAAAAAATATACATTGTGGAAGAAACCAAGAAGGCAGACCCTGCTTCATTCCCCCACCTCTCACCAGACCTGAAGTATTAATACTTGATGGCCAAGGAGTAAGCAGTTTTGCAGAGCTTTGAGGGTTGCCCTATATATGGTGCATCACAGTTATTATCACAGACACATGTTTTTATTTTATTTTCTCTAAGTAAAAAGCTTGGACCCAAATGACTGACAGTAGGACACCATATCCTACTTTGTCTTCTCATTTTTGATTGGGTTAAAAAACAAGAAGAAAGACTGCTCTGTCTTTTAAAGAGCACAACCCTCTGCTTGGGCTTCAGTTGTCTGGCTGGTATCCTCCATTCAGTTGGTTTCAGCACCTGATTAATTAGTTAATTAGTACTTAGAGCTGACTAGCCCTGGTCGGCAATTTTCATGCCCTGCATGGTGAAATGTTGAATCCCACATTGAAATTTCTGTGTCGCACACTCTAATTATTATCACTCCACTACTTTTTAAACCATTGCACCAAATTATTATTATAGACAGAGCCAGACAACTGTGTGGGAATATGTTCTCTCTGAGAAATAATGGTAGACAATATTTTTCACTGTTGTCCTTAACACATTTAAATAAAACAATTGAGTGGGGAAAATTCTAATTCAATTAGCCTCCAACTCCTTTTACTGAGAAAATGATTTTATGTAAGAGAGATGTTAGGAAAAAAATCACAGCAGAAATTTTAGTAATTTTTTTTAGTTCCCTGGATGCCAAAGAGTGTGTTTACAAGATATCCTATCTGACATTAGTTCTCTTCCTATATAATTCTAAAATGTCTAGATTATTTTTTAAATAATAGAAAACAGATACTAAGCAAAAGGACCATTTTTTACTTGCTATAAGGAAATGATGCTATCTGTGTATGTGTGTGAGGGAGAACTTTTGATGTTTAAAAAAAAAAAAACTGACATGGTTTAGGAATAAGTTTTCTGTGGGAAAAAAATATTCCTTTGCCACCGCCTCATTATTCCATAACTTTGATGTGATGGCTAAGGTTAAATATCAAGTAGGGAAAAAATAGTGTTAGAAAATAAGTTAGGGCACAAACCTATAGCAGTCTAATTTTTATCATTTCTCAGTATACCATTACCGAAAAGAGCTCCACTATCAGTGATTTACAGTATTACTGCTAGCTATTTTCACCTGGAAACAATCCTTATATATCAGTAGTGAGTTGCTTGTAATTGTAAGAGCTAAATGGTACACAAAACTGGATACACAACCACACAGACCAGTAAATGGGTCAGACTGAAAGCAAAAGTAAACACCAACCTTAGGAAATGAAAGAAGTTAAAAGATAAGTGTTAAGGACCTTATTCTTTTTGGAGAATAAAACAAGATTTAGTAGCTTTCCACTTAATTTAAATGAAAAGAATCACTACCTTACATATTGCAGTGATAATGTAATGGGGAAAGAAAACAAAAAAGTCTTTGTACAAATGACACCTCCTATAGTTGTTGTGAAGAAACTTTTCCCCTTGGTATCTGCTAACAAATTCTAATTAATGCTGCACATTCCTTTACTGAAATCATTTAATGCGTAACAAGGGGGGTAAAAAGAAATGCTGAATGCTCGTGATTGCCCTGTTAGAATTATGGGAGTGAAAGCCTGGGGCCCCAAACTTACTGTCTATTAAAGCCAAGCTTTGAAAAAGAAATGCAACCTACAAAAGCTGTCAATCTCCCTTGCCCCTAAAGCCTGGGTTCACATGGATTCAAGTGACAGCCCTCCTCCCCCATGCACAATACATCAATCTGTCTCTCCCACAAGCACCCACAGCCCATTGTGCTGGCCGCAGGTGCCTATTATGGCACCCATGGCTGCCTCCCACAGCTCCGCCCCTGAGAAACAGGAACTGCAGACAATGGGGCCCTGTGGGAAGACAGAGGTGGGTGTTGGGAGGGATAACAGACAGATGGTAAAGGGTACAGGGTAGTAAGGTAGTTTCTAAACAAATGTCAAACATTCAAAATTATTGCTTTCACGTGTCCCCCTTTTTGAATTGCCTTTGCTTCAATCACCATCTGCCATAATATGAAAACACATACCTGTTAGTTTGAATATATGCTCTTCTTTTTGGGTGGTGGGTGAGGGGATGACCTTCAATACTCTACTCCACCTATTTAGCCTCTAGGTTTCTCAAGGTCACAGACTGAAGAGTTTTAGTTAAGTGACACCAGTAGACCATATAAGGGAAGGAAGAAATCGTTTTAATTTTTTTTTTTGCAAGGCTTGTGATTTCATTTTAAGCTTACTTTGGGGATTCATAAGAGAGTAAAGGTGATGGAAACTAGTTGCTTTGGGTAATATGTTAGTGAAATCGAAGTGTTATGAGACGTTTTAAAATATCATACCAAGCAGGTGGAAATTCTTAGGCCATTTCTTTTCTGGTAGGGAAATACAAAAAGGGAGATGAGGTAGATTTAATAATAAAAGTAGTGAAGGTCTCTAATTCAGTCTTTTCCTATTCCTAAACATGCCAAAATAAATAAGTAAAAATGTAAAAAGAATTACTAAATACTATTCACATTGAGTACCATTATCAGAAGTAGTATATTTTAAACATTCTATCTTATTAAGTGTCACTTGCCTATATTGTTTTCATCTTTGGAGTTCTGGACTAATTAAAAAGCAATAAGTGGAAGAATTAAAGTATATGCCAAAAACACATATATTACCTCAAATAATTTGATTTAGTTGATTTTGTCCTTAGTCATCTCTATATACCACCTATTCCTGTTTCCAAGATAATCTGTCATAAATCAAAACCAAATTCACATTAATTTCATCACTACTATTACTACCTATCTCAAACAGAAAGCAATGAAGAAAAATCTGGCACAACTATAAGTCATGGTCAAGACAATTAGTGACTTGTTGGGATGAGGGTACCCCCCAGAATAATTCCAGAAACTAAAACCAGCCAGCTTTCTTGAAGCAAACAACAGGGTCTTGGTTTGTTGTCAAAAACCACAAACTAGGCTTTAACTAGGAACTGTCAGAGATCCAAGTGAGCTCCTGGCCAGGGAGAGCTTAATTAGCAGAGTTGGTCTGGTTTTTAAATTACACAAGAAAAACAACCAATACAGTATGAAAGCATACAGTGATCTAATGTAACACAAAATTCACTATTCCATTATATGTGTGTGTAGTAGTTTTGCACATTTTATTAACAATTTAGATTTAGATTTC